AATAAAGAAGAGATTCGTTGGTCGATCTCACCAGATGAGGACGGATGAATCTCGTTGTACTGCAGCCGTTGACAGCGTCAACATGAAAATCGTATAAAAGCCAAATGGCTGCAGTACAACGAGATGCATACGTCCTCATCTGGTGAGATCGACCAACGAATCTCTTCATCATTCACTTTCCTGCGAACTGAAAGTCCCCCTACCAATATTTAATAGGGGAGCCATAGCAACAATTGATCAGTTCTTGCAAGCATGCTGTTTCACATCGCGTGGCGTTTTCGTATGCTGGGTCCTCCGGTGAATATATTAGGATAAATTTGCCTCTTAAAATAAACCATATGGTACTTGGATGACTAAACAAAGCTTAGGATAAAACGAATCCTTTTAAAGCTATGCTATTTTTGAGTAAAGTTTCATCATAAGCATATCGAAAACTTACACCTACACATGTACATTGGAATCAGGATCCGTCAGGTATCGGCATTGCCAAGACGCTTTATTCGTCAACTTGTCCCCATTCATGCTGTGCATTTTTCAATTAAATTTTTTCCTAGCTTTAATCGGCAAAAATATAGTATAGGTAGTGCACCTCGAATGAACTTCCAGGACGCAAGATCCTTTCGTAGATAAAGAATCGCTCCATGGTTTGACTCGATAAAGCTGTCTTTGGACGGTTGAAATGTGCAGGCAATGCACAATTCCTGATGCCTTTCTTCGTGGCATATGCACGTTATATGCCGAATGAAACGAGTTTCACCTGAATTCCGAGCTTAATAGAGTATTTACTGATTTAAGAGGACAATAGGGCATTTTCAAAAGTAGCCATATGTAAAAGGGAATTTGCTCCGGGAATATTTATGAGAAATAATAAAACTCAATTATTTATGAATCAGTGAAAAAATTGGTTTCTCACAACTTTAATTAATTTATTTTTTGGGTTATTTACTTTCTATTAAAGAAATTTAAAAATTACATTCTGGAGATACGAAGGCGAAAATGTTCTAGCCTCTATTTTGGTCGAAGTCTCATTTATCTCCATGCGAGCTGTCTGTTGGTCTTGTCGTATCCCTATTTGTTGCGAGTCTGCTTAAAAAATATACAAAGATATAGCTGAAGCTACCTTCTTCAAATCTCCTATCCATTAAACCTCTTTCAACAAGGATGTCGATGGCCGCCATAATCTTCAATTTCTTTACCTTCCAATTCATCTCACGTCCAGTCTGTGCAATGTGGTCTGCTATTACGGATCATTCGATAACCATTTTACTGAAGAGCCTTTGATATCTCCTAATTCCAGTGCTGATTTTTTTATCTGTTTCACCAAAGTATTTCTGTTTGAATACGCCGCATGTTACGCGGTGAACTCCTAATCAAGCTAATTTGTCTAACCTCTCATGTTGCGTAGGTAGACTTGTGAAGATGACTGTTTTTTCCTTCGTGGTCACCTAAATATACTATTTTCTTAGAATTCGAAGCAGCTTTTGAGTTAGTTCGCGGGAAAGTAGGCATATCCACTCGTGAATCTTTCTGAATCTTTATTTTTCGTTTTTAATCCTCCTTCTTTAATCTTCCTTTCATAACCCATATACTTCTTTATATTACTTCTCTCGAGTATCCGTTGTCAAGATACGTTTTGTTCAATTCATCATCCCGGAATTCAACGTCCGCTTATAATAGGTTACTGATGTTCATGTTTCTCACTATTCTGATCTTCAATCTGAAGCTGAGATAAGATTATAAATTGTGTATTTTCACTGCATATGACTTCTTTCCTAACAATCTTTTCTTGAGTGTCCCATTCAAGCGAACGACTTCAACATCCAGGAAAATGAAAGGCTTCTCATCTATTCCTATTTCGAATTTGATTTTTTCATCAATCTGGTTTACGAACTACAGAAAATCGTTCAATTACTCTCTTCCACGCGACCAAAGTACGAAGTAGTCATCCAGATAGCAATCTTGGTTGTAGCGATGATGTTTTGAAATCCTCTTCTAATTTGTTCGTGTTTACGTTTGCCAAAAGAGGTGAAAGTGGCAATTCCATAGGAAGTCCAAATATTTCTTCATAGATGTTGTTGTTGAATATGAAGTAGGTAGCTCTTATGGACAAGTAATTTAATGGTCTTACTGACTCATTCTTTATCTTTTCTGCTTCCAGGATATCCTCTTCTCGGTCCACGATCTCCAAATATGTTTGTTTCCTTACTGTATAATGTAAATGCAAACATATAGTTAATTCTGTTCCTACTAGTCCAACGTTTTTGATCCTTTGAGAAGTTTCACATGAATGCTACACTGTGCTTGATAACCTTTCGTTTAATTTATTGCATTTCAAACATATACACTCTTTGACGAGTAGTAGCCAGGTGCTTAAAATGGAAAGACTCACGGGCGATGCCAACTATGGTGCCAGCTAAACGTCTGGGAATGTACCAAGCCCACGGTCCGAAGCTGGGAATTATCATAGCTACTATATCAGAAGACTTCGAACAAGGTGCGTCCGACTAGGTTCCCTTGCCAACACGATCAGGTGGGGAAATCAAAGTTTAATAACCTTCAAACGGTGAGAGGAGTCTGTAATCGACCCAGAGGACATAACATCTTGCTATTCATATGTACCAAATACATTGGTTTGAGGATTCTATTTTTCTAAGCTAGTTTATAGAAAATAAATACGTAAAACAGAATGAATAATGAAGATTCGGAATGAGCCAATTTTATTTCACCGGCTCATAAATAACTTGCTTTTATGATTTATAATAAATATTCCCTTTTGCTACTGTCTCTTTCATTATAGGGAAAGTTTCCTAGTGTCTTCTTTGATTGGTAAAGATATGATGATGCTATTCTGCCTCTGAAAAAGGTAGACAAGTATTCCATATATAGAAAGGAGAACAAACCTAATTGAAATCTAATGATAATTGATTTGGGCATTTGTGAGCAAGTGACATGATTAACGAAACAAAAACAATATTTCTCGACAGAAGTATATTTTCCTGTAGTATTTAGAAGGGTCCGAGCTCCATCTGACAATCAATCACAAAAACATTGAGTATTTATCAAAAATACTAGTCAAACTGTTGCCATTTGGAAAAATTTGTGGATGAAAAGATGCTAGTAAAATTGACACCATATCAAATGAGTGAGAAAAACAAAGCAAAAAATTCAATATTTGCACTTCACTGAGAACCTGCTAAGTAATCACAATGATGATAGACCGTTTACATAGTGCAACTATATTTAGAACTTACTGAGAAGACTGGTTGGATACAAAGTAATATCTTGATAAACTTTTTAAACAGTCTTAATGCCACCATGACAATAAGAAAAAGGTGATGCTCTGAGCTGAAAATCACGCTATAAAAATTATCAAACCCCAGGATATGTGCTATATTCTTTAATTTGCTGCCGATGGATTAATGATTTAAGCCCAAAATTGAGAAAAGAGCAGTCGAAAAAGTAAGAAATGTCAGAAAAATGTCAAACGTAATGCTTTAGCAATACAGATGTACATAAAGCGAGAACCATATATCGATTGAGCCTGAAAGGTCGGAATGATTCACAGTATTCTTCAAACGTATCGGAAGCAGATTATCAACTATGCCATTCATATGGTGACTTCAAACCTGATCTAAATTCGGATAAATTTACCTGTAATAAAGTTCCCTTGTAAAGTTATTATTTAAGGATTTGGATTTAATGAGGGAAGAATAGAGACCTATATATCTGAACAGGGGATTAACTAGAAAAATATATTTTATTCTTGTTTATCAATACAGTACAGAAAAAGGACATTGTTGCAAGATGGCACAGGCAAGGGTCCATTCTAAATATCCACTTTATTACCATAAAGAATATAGGAAGTCGAAAGTATGCATTTCAAGTAGTGAAAATAGAAAAGGCCTTTTGTCCATCAATGGCAATTTAGTGGTGAGAAGATTGAATGTGACCAGAATTCCTTATGTTCATATTATCTTATTGTTCTGTTACGGTCCTAGCTCCTTACCGATGGAGTAGATGAGTCAAACTTCTGAGGTCTACACCATCCAGTCTTCTCCCTACAACAATCCCACCTTCACAACTTCAATAGAATTCCACATCTTTGGTTAAGACATAATAACGTATTATGAATGCTGGAAAATAGATCCGGTAAATGTTGCAATTTGGCATGCCTCAGTGAATTTTCGACATTGTAAAGAGGAATACGAATTTCGAAAATTTTGTCCATAATTTCACTTTTATCGCATTCGGAATATTTGTGAGTGTCACAAGTAAAATAAACAGTCTGGCCAACAGAAAGCACAATAGCGTGACCCAATCTTTTTTGAAATAGCCTCATCGGAACCCGAAGAAGGAGTGACGTGGAGTGAAGACAGTAGGATTGTGCGAAGAATTCATAGGCTCATCGTCCTGTATCCGTGATGATCCATTGTCTGTAGAGTGACAGACACAATTTTAAAGGAAAACCAAAATACCAAACTATCTTTTCGTAAAATATGTTTTCTCGCTCTGCCTTAAACAGTTAGGAATTTTTCAATTCTCAAAATATTTCCAGCCGTTCGCCATTCATTAATTGTCTACGCCCCAATCCACAACTTACACTAGCATATCCGTTCAGCCCCGAGATCTTCACTTCCATGACCACCACAAAAGTCAGCAGGCCAGAGGTCTTGGTACAGAGCAAGCTACCTAACCAGACGTCATGGGTCTACCCAGTCATAAGTCAAGCTCCCTCTGGGCCACGCACCTCTGACTTCTTGCTCTCCTCCAATGCCAACTGCAGCAATGTGTCCTCATGCTTCCGACGCTTCATTCGCTCCTCCTCATGCTCTGATTTGGAGACGGCTAGTGCAATCTGTAACTGCATTACTTCGTCGTGGGGACTGGTGGCCATGTCACTATGGTCAAATGAGCCTTTTGTCGGAGGCACGGCATTGGCAGTTGAGGCATTAAAAAAGACTGCATCAGAGCTGGAATTGACTCCTGCATTACCTTTGGGTACGAAAGTGTTGGAGTTGACTCGTTGACGCATAGCGTCTGAGAGCAGGAGGAGATAAAGAAGCAGATAATAAGAGGAAGGAAGTACGGAAGGGAAGAACTAAGAAGAAGAAATATAAACGGTACCGGAAAGGAAAAAGGCATAGCAAACGACAAGAGTGTAAAAATAAAAAAACAGTATATATAAAAAAAGGGTGTTGAAATAAAGTAATCCTAAAGTCAATTAACCTAAAGAAAGCTCAATGCATTTCAACTCTATTCAAATCAGCTCAACTGTACACACCTTATTCAAAGTCAATGCAACTCAGACCATAATAATTAAGTTAATAAAAGTT